GTAAGATTTCCTGTAATCATAGGAGATAGAGATTATAGGGAGCTTTCAAAGAAGATTGTAACACTAGAAGAATATCATTAGCTGAAGATTGAGAGTAATGGTTAAAAGAATCCATCTTTAGGAAATGTCTCGATTTCTGGTATCATCTGGGACAAAGGATCTGTATCATCAGTCAATTGTAAATTGCAATCTTACGCTTGCCGACCTTGCTTGAGCGTTGTCGGGGGCTGCGTCCTCAGAACCAAACAAGTGCTTGAGCCATCTCCACAACGCCGAAGTAACACACAATCTTTCATGAACTACGGGCGGGTCACGGCTGTGCTTTGCTAACACCACTGGTCGGCAGGAAACGACTCAGCTTGGGACGGCCAACAGATCGTCCAAGTCCTCCCGTCAAGTAATACGGTGCCCACAACAACCATGGACGACCCCTGCTGCAAGTATTCACCGCAGCTCCGAATGAACTGCGCTCTATCTGGGTCTGGAAACAGGATAAGATATGCAAAGACATTGCAAGGACAAAAGATTGCATTTACCGAGTCCGGAATAGCTCCAGGTCCATGTAGCGCATGTGAAGACTCCTGGCGGGACAGTCCAAATTGGAACAACACGTCATACTCTGCTTGTTCGTCCACTGAAACTTGGCACCTCTTCTGAAAGGTCTGTCGAGGAGCCAGCGTTCTCCACGCCTCAGTACCAGAATTTCTCGCAAAATCGCAAGCAAAAAAACCGACTTTATCCGACTTTCAAACTAATCAACTTCAATAACATCTCCGCTCGCTCTTGCTGTACTGCTGTACTGCTGCCCCAAGAACTTCCAGCAGCAGTGGACAGCGGCTCTGATTGAGCAGCTGCCTGCGCTGAACGCCAAAGCACTGAGGGAGCTCACATTCATCACATGCCAATCAGGCCTGAGAAGCTTCACGCGGCAGTGGCTTCACAAGGACGGCCATTGCCACCTCGAGTGGCATAGGCCGTCTCTCTGTGGCCGCCATAACGGCACACCACGTCAGCACCGTGGGGCTCCAACTGTTTTATTTGTCTTCTTGCCGGTAGAAGCTGAAGTTCTCTGATTTCTCAACAGTCTGCCTGACCTTTACTAGCACTGGTTAACGTGAAACTTATCATGTTGCGATGTGCAAATGTGCAGAAACTCATAGAGCCGCGCATTTCCCGTTTCCAGCGGTTCACAGCTATCACGTAATCTGCATGTGTACGCTGCAGATTAACACCGAGGACACGCAAGCACAGCTGCAAGAGCACAGCACTGTGATTTGCAGCTGTGGCAATGTCCTATCAGTGCAACGCAGTGGCACTTTACATACTTCATCGCCTAATCACGGTGAATGTTTGCTAGCATCCACGGATTGCCTGGATCTGTTGAAGGGAACGGCAAGTAGCTTGAAACCGCTTCCTTCCAGGCCTTCTTGCCTCATGACGTGCAGTGGCAAGTTGCTGCCCAACCCCTAGAGATGGTGTGCTCTGCATCCTCCTCCCGCCACTTAGCATGAAACCTCATGGGGGGGGAAGAGGAAGGTGGGGGGGAGCGGGCGGCCCACAACCAAAAATAATAGTACAAACAGACTATAAACCGTACTCTGACACTATACTATAGTACTATAATACTATAACAATACTATAAACACACCATAATACTATAATAGTGCTGTAATAACGTTATACTAGTACTGTAATAGTAGCATGATATTATACCATAATATGACAACAATGACAACAAGAAGGTAAGCCATTACCAACCAACCCTCACACACTCACGAGTAATTACAGAAAGAATATGACAATAACAATTTAGTAAGAGTAGCATAGCAGGAACTATAGAAATATTAACATTCATAAAGTAAAAACATAGTTAAAAATAAAACAGACACAATAATACAACCTCATAGGAGCCACCAACCCGAATGCAGACCTATGTCACGTAGGTTACGACAAGATATCAAAAATAACAATCGACACGACCTTTGAGCTCATATATGTGCCTTGCCTTCTCAAGCCACACACGAGATGTGTCCAAAGACACGCCCAGGACACGTCCAGAATACACCCAAACCGGCCAAGCAAACCTGTCCAAGAATCCCACAACACAAAAGTTTTAGAGAGATAGCAGTCCAACCAGGTCAGTTCAATGCCGGCAAGGCTTTGCAAAGCTAATAACGTCTTTGCCCTTGCTTTGGGTTTTTTTTTGCTCGGGATTAACCTTGAATTATTGTGCATTTGCGAGCGCATCATTGCCGAAGGCAATAACCTTACGGTCTTGGGTGTTTCAACTGCACTGTAAGCCCATTAAAATTCACAAGCGGACAGGGTGGCATGAAGGTTTGTTCTCCACTGCTGTCAGTCTCGCTTCCAACAGCGGAGGCTCGGCCCAAGCGGAAGCCTCACAAACTTGATAAACTATATAACAGGCTGCTGCATCAAGAATTTGCAGTTTGCGCGTGCCTCCTACATGAAATGTATGCAACGCACACAACTTCAAGCAAAAGATCTGCAAGCCCGATTGGTCTGCTTGAGTCCCTACACCGTCAATAACTTTGCCATCATTGACCTCGCCTGACAAGATCAATCTTGCAGCGATGTGCACAAATCAAGCTAAGCTGCGGTTGAAGTTCGTGAGAAAATAGAGCGAATTCTGGATTTGGGGTCTGCAAAAACTTGGAAAACCGCGTGACGTGTTTCTTTGATTGTTTGCCACAAACTAATCACCGCTCATGCACTCAATACTGTCGAAAAAAGAAAATCTAGGGTTTCCAGGGCGCGGGAGTAGGGTTCAAAATGAGAGATCATTCCTGAAACCGAGGCAGATGTTGTCACAGCACTAATTAGGGAGCTTTGTCCTTGGCAATCAAAGCCTTGATGACGTGGCACGTAACACGCCTGGACTTTGGGGCTGATGCAAGACTGATCTTGGAGGAGGCGTGCCTGCGCTCCGTCACTGCAGGTATTTGATGAGTATGTTTGGTAGTTTGTCTTCGGTGCTGCAAGCCCTGTTTTTCTGCTGAAAACTCCCAAAATACTCCTGTAGAAGTGGCCTGTAAAACTTGCAAAAGCCTTCTCTTTAAGCTATTCTCTGACAAGACGGAGAACAAGAATAAGGGTGTTGACCAAACAACTCTGAGGGTAAGCGATACTAGCTTGATCCACAAGGCATACGGGCATCATTCTTACTAGACATAGTAAATTCAGCATTCATCGTTCTTCGTCTCAGGCCTGCCGGGCTTGGGAAGCCTTCAGGCAGCGAGGCCGCCGCCTTGACCTGAGCTGGACTTCTGAAGTCTTGGCTTGCTGGCAAGGGATCACTGGATGCCTTTCGGGCTAATGCTCTGGCATGTGAAGTTCCACTAGTTCATCCACTCCTGCAACTGCTTGTTTCTGATGCAAAGATCAATGGCGTTGGCTATCAGAAATCGTAGCAGTGTGGCCAGCAACTCTAAGGTTATGCAGCAGCGA